TGTATTTAATTAATGCTTTGTGAATGGAAATATATAAACAAATCTAAAGTGTTATCCCAATTTGGCTGCAGAGGAGTCAATACACTTTAAGGTGTGGGTTAGGGACTAGGTTGCTTTGTTCTTGTACCAAAAACAAGGTTAAGCAAAAATTACAAACCTCTATGAGCTTATATGAACGTATATATAAAGACTCATCTCTTCAGGGAAGCCTATCCCAACTCAACCTAACCACTGAACTATCACATTCTCAAACAATTCATCTCCACACAGCTACCTCCTCATGTATCACTGGCCCCTCCCTTTTCAATTGAAAGCCCTCACGGGCAGGGTCCTCCTTAGCATCTTGTCTTGAATTGTATTGTAATGTCTTCCTTATATTGTAAAGTGCTGCGCAAACTGTTGACGCTATATAAATCCTGTATAATAATAATAATATCGCTCCATTTACCTGTATGCCTGGAGGATTACTATAAAAGGAGAACTATGGGGTTAGGGCTTTTCTCCATAGTTCTTCTTAGGGTAACGGGAGGACACAAACTAGCGTCCTCCCGTCACACTAAGCTCAGTATACCGCGAGCTACAGCTCGTGGTATACTGAGACGCCGCAGCTGAAACGGATCCCGACAATTATGTCTGGATCCACCCAGCTGCGCGAGTGACAGCTGGCTCTGCCTATCTGGAGGCAGAGCCAGCTGTACCCACCCCCTCCCCCGTCCGTTCCGCCAGTCTGCTCTGGAGGATCGGAGGGGGGAATCCAGTCCCTCCCCTGTCACGGCTCTCTGCCGCGACAGGATCGAGAAGTGAGCGAACGCCGGTATGTGTTCACTCACTTCCTGATCTACTGAGCCGACCTGTGTTTCATTGTCACAGGTCGGCTAAAACTATGAGGATGAGTGAAAAGCACTCACCTCATAGTTCTCCTTTTACATTCTGAACAATGCAGAGCAATCTCTCAGCAGTAGCACTCTATAATCATTGTCCTCCGCACATCTGCATTTGCTTAGAAATGAAAAAAACATTTTTGCTGGGGTGACCATTTACCACCTCATGTTTTGCAGCCAAGCCTCTACCCATGCATTAAAAGGTGCATGCAAGTGTAAACACAAGTACAAAGATTTGTTAGAGTTCAGAAAAATAAAACCCACAACATTTAAACTAGAAAAAGTAAAATCATTTTATTTGCATTAGACTTATATGTGCACATGTGGAAGGAAGGGGGGGGGGGGGGGGGGGTCGCAACA